CCCCCTCCTCCTCCTCTTCTAATTCATTTGAACATGTCCCATCAAGATTTACAATTCTTTTAAATTTAAAACTGGCTTTGTGTGCTTACATGCATGTTTGCTGGAGGTCCCGAATGTCTATAGAACAAATATGGTCAAGTGATCAATTTAATGGCTGAGTGGGTGTATTCACTTCTCTGTGAATACCCACTGCAACTAATATGGCGCAGTCACTCAAACCTAAACAAATCCTATATGTAGCAGTCTGCTATTATGCATCTAGGTCCACATACAGAGCACAATTTGACTCCAAACTCTGATTCACTGATTGAATTCACTCACTAAGTTATTTAGACACGTTAGCAACATGCTACATATTTCATGCAACAATGCAAAGCTGTGGGTGATGCACCACATTTGTGACACTTGATATAGTTGTTACTGTATACATTTGAATTTAAGCCATTTACCCGTGACATTTTGAAAAATAAGCCATTTCATCCATCACATGTCCAGAAATATTTTAATTGGGCTATGTAATTACATTTATTACCGAACCTACGATTGGCAAAGGGAAATGCTAATAACCCCCTCTGCTTATTCCTCCCTTTTCCATAGGTTGTCTCTTCAATCCCAGTGCACTTGGATGGAAAGTCTGCACCTGGCCAGGTTCCCACTGGCAGTGTTTGTTATGAAAGAAATGGGGTAAGTGGCATGGATTATAGATCAGCGAAATGCAGGATGTTTTTAAAACTTCATCCTTTCTTGATGACTTTTTTTTAACAATCATTTACTTGCTCTATAACCGACTTTTGCTAAAACCCTCCTTACATCTGCTTCCCCATTATGAACAAAGGATTGATTTATATCAATGGAATATGTTCCATCATGGCCTTCACAAGGGCCATTTATTTTTCACTGTACGAAAAAATGCAGTTGGAAGCCTAGTTCCTTTTAATGCTACACAAGAAAAACTAAGTATTGCATTTTTAAGTCATTTGAATGTAAACAGCAACAAGCTAAATTCCACAAGCAGAATATTTGCTTTACATATAAATTGGCATCAGGGACAAGAGGTCTATAATAACTGTTGTGTTAAGCCCCATGCCCCCACGGGCAAACTTAGCTGACTGACGATACGAACCATTTTTACCAAAACAAAAAACAAGCCTCACAAGAAGCGTCTAAATGAGCCCTGAGCAGTTGGCACAGAACTCTAGGTATAAATACCCTTATTACTTATCGTATCTGCACAAACAAGATATCGATTAGCAAGCTGAGATTCCAAAGATTCCAGAAAAAATAGTATCATCACTGAGCGATCCAAACTCGTGACAGGGGAAGCGAAAACAGACATTACAACACGTAGATCCACGGAGGAAACGGAGAGATTCTTACCTCAGCTGTTGTTCTGATCAAATGTTGTGTTCAATGGCATCAAAACCATAAAAACACTGCTAAAGGTTAATCCAATGTGTCTGTTAGTTTGAAATGATTACTGATAATCCATCTTCATATTTACTAGTGAAACATAACATAGGTTTTCGACTGCGTGCGCGTCACACCAACTCCTCAATGGTAACATGTATGTGGAACTTCCCCTTCGATTCTATTGGCTCTAACGGTTCAAAAGAGGTGTCAATCACCAAAATCGAGCAATGGGTTCCAGAGAAACGGCAAATACACCCATTTCCACTCAAATGACCTCAAAGGTGATTTTTTTTCTTTTCTTTTTTTGCTAAATCTCTCTAAAAAGGTCAAAGTCACTTGTTTGGCATCAATCTTGATACAGGGTACTTATTATGTTATACTTTGGATTCCTAAAGCTTTTAGTCTACTATCCCATCATTCAAGGGTGGTTTTCACTATAAGTAATGTATTCTCTTTTGGACGGACACTGTAATTTAACTTTTTTTTTTTTTACTATGTTCAATCTGAATTTACTTTAAAATAAAACAGATCTATATTGATTCTGACTTTTCTACATCCAACTCACAAGTTTTTCATTGCTTTGAGAAAAAAGATGATTAATTTACCCCTTTTAGAAGTAAAAATATAGTCCTTTGTTCTGGGAATGTCATTTTTCGAGCCTGAGGCCTGAAAAGCAGGCTTGGGGCTTAACAGGTCAAGAGGTGTGTTCAAAACCGTTTCAAAAACCCTGTTTTGACTTTCAACAGGAGGTGTTCTACCTTACCTACACGACTGATGATGTGGAGGCTAATATGCACCTGGATACAGGCGACAAAGTCAGCTTTTATATGGATACCAACAAACAGTAGGTCTTTACACAATGACAGTATTCAATCCCTAATATGCCGAGATTACACTCAAGTTTGTTTAACCTTTCTTGCATTTCAGTACTGGTGCAGTCAGTGCTCGTAATATTCAACTGGTGAAGAAAAAGCAAATGAGATGCCAGGGTGTGGTGTGTGCTACAAAGGTACGGGACGCTAATATCAGCACGTGGACATTTGGTAACTTAGTAATGGTGTTGTCATCTTTGTGATGGCTACCTTTGCAAAAAAGGGCACTATTTGAGAAAATGATTTGTACATGAAATACTTCAGGCCAACCGAGCCATTAGCTTGTTTACTAAAGTTGTAGAATTTTTAACATGGATGTTGTGATGGTGGGTTCCTTAGCGTAATTTCTATTTAGTTTAATTCCATTCCATTTAATCGCTTCTGACAATCTTTTTTGTCAGTAAGTAACTCACTGAATTGAGGCAGGATCAGACGGTTGCTGCTCCTGTTTTGTTGAACCACATGTTGTCTTACAGGAGGCCTTTGGATTCATCGAGAGGGCAGATGTGGTGAAGGAGATTTTCTTTCACTACAGCGAGTTCAAGGGTGACCTGGAGGCTCTGCAGGCTGGAGATGACGTTGAGTTCACCATTAAAGACAGGAATGTAGGGGTTAAGCTTTTCATCCCTTAAAATACCTGAGTAACTCTTGTACTTTGATTATTTTTTGACATCTCAAACCCTTTAAATCTAGGATCTACACGGTCTTTCAAAAGCCTTGAATTGTCTTTGTTTACTGCAAATAATCATGAGGTTTATTGGGATGTATTTATTCTGTGCTCGGAAGGAGAACTAAACCATTATTTTCCAATCTAACCTTTATATTTTCATAGCGGTTATATATTACTTTTATATTGTTGAAAGAATATTTCCAGGACTTTGTTTCTTATGCCAATATGAACACACAATAAATATAGGTATTCAATTATTTGTTGTTTTTAAAACCAGTCTTACATTTAACTTGTGTAAATTGACCTGCCAAAATGTTTGTGTAAACCGTCCGTTATGTTCTTGTGGCCATAGGGTAAAGAGGTGGCCACAGATGTGAGGCTGCTCGCCCAAGGAACAGTCATCTTTGAGGACATCAGCATCGAGCAGTTCGAAGGCACTGTTGTCAAGGTCATTCCCAAGGTTCCCACCAAAAACCAGGCAAGTAGATTACAAGTCTGGCAAGTCACATTTTCTCAAATCGGTCCTTTCTTGTACGACTTGCATCACAAGAACTAACTTTTAACCTAATTCTATTGTTTTAATTCATAACTTTCCTTGTCTCTTATCGTGCTTTTTTTCCTTCCCCTATGGCAGGGGTGGCCAACCAGTCAGAGATTAAGAGCCACATTTTGTCTATGTTACTGCAAAGAGCCACATCAAACACACAGTCACTGATACCGCTTGTTTCAGTTTTTTGTTTTCTGGAGACAAGATTTCAACCACGTCACTGATGCATTTTTGTGGCATTGGGATATATATTTTTTAAATCCTCTGGAGCAGAGAGAGGAGCTGTGGATTATTGTTATTGATTAATGCATCTACACACAACCAAGTCATATTTTCCCTACTTCCGTGCAGATTAAAACTACACCGGGTTCTCGGTTAGTGTTTATTTGCACCTACGTCTCTTGTAGTGAAAACTCCCCCCTTTTGGGATAGCAACTAATTTGTAAAGAGGTCACCAAAGGGAATGTAACAGGAACCCTTCCGGCCGCGACGCGAGGCGTTGACTCGGGGCGCGGGGGGACTTTAACTCCACAAATTTATTATATATTTTGTTTAAAAAAATTATGAAATGAATAGAATTTATATAAATATATCGTGGTAACGTTAGATATGATATGAAGTGAAAAGGTAACTTGTACACGAGAAAAGAAATTAATTTGATTTGAAAGTAAAATTCACACTAAATAACAAAAACGCTGG